TTGTGAAAAGATTTTTAAATGAATGAAAAACGTGGTGACAGGAATCTAAAAGCAGTGCTAGGTATCCGTCAATGCATAATACTGTGTTTTTCTTAATGTTTTCTCGATGAATTATTTGTTCCACTCTTCAAGCCGAATATTCCGAATCTTTGGATTTTTCTCAACAGTACTCACTTATGTATCAAAGTTTATTTGTGAAGTAAACTCAGAGACATTTCTGGAAGTGAAATCTGGGACTTGGAATTTGTGCTTCGTACTACATCATGCTCAGTGAAATGCTATTGTGAAATTACATATACGTATTTTTCTTAATTTTTCTTGATTTAATTCCTGATTTAATACTTTTACTGCGAAGATTCCGGAAATTTTATTACAATGTTAGTATTGAATTTAGTTTTGCAACCTTTAAGTAGCTATGTAACAGATAGCAATTCGCAGAATTCATCGTAATAAAGTAGTTTGTAAATTTTTTGTTCGTTGTGTACTTTCATTAATTTATCAATATATGTGCACTTTTTACAGACACCTTGCAAACTGCTAGTGCTTTTGTTTACTCAGCTACTCACTAGACTATGTCATTCGTGACTAGTGATGTAAAATTGTTCGACTTACTAATGCTACTAGTTTGCCGAAATTTTATTTCCCCCTCTCCGTTCTCAAAAAAAAAAAAAAATTTTTTTTCAAAAAAGAATATTTGTCGTACCACATTCATATATTTTGCGTATGAGCAAATTTCAGTTTTAAATGTCGCTATTTGTTTATTCAATTACCATGTTTTCTCTGCATTAATTTCTCGCTAAAAAAGATGCATGGTAGATTATATGAGATGTCAGTTGAAACATGGTATCCTTTCGGGTTTGCAGTGCTTTACAATTTTCAGGGGATCTAAAGTAGGTGCTGTCGGAGTGTCCAGGCCTACTGTTAGCAGCAGTATGGCCTGCATAGCGATATAGATATCAAAGGGCTGAAGTTTTTCACCTTATGTCGCAGTTTTGAGTGGTCGTATCAAATTGTTAGTTATGGTTTATTTTTTAGAAAATGTGACTTATATTTGGTGAAAATAGATAAGGCTGTACTGATAATACTTGAAAAGTTCTGAGTAATTTAGGGGTCAAAATTTTTTTTAGCAGTTCTAAATAAGGGAACTATACTAACTTTTCTGTTTGTTACTTAACCAGTTTGTTAGTTACAATAACTAATAGAAATCATCTATAGTCTTTTTAGTTTCAACCATCTCTTGTTTTAAAACACTTTAGCGTTCATTGCGGTATCTTTAAAATATCTTATGTTCCTTGTCAGTGGAAGATGTAAGTGAGAAATCTGCTGCTAAAAAGGTGGATATTACGGACAAGTGAGCTCGGATTTTTTGGATGCTTTAAAAAATTTTGACCAGATTCTCAGAATATTTGAAGGATGCTGTACTGGGAATTATTTCAGGTTTCTTCCCAAACTTTGTGGTAATCTTGTGTCTCTAAGTCCTATTAATCACCGAGGCCGAGAAACAGTAGTGAAGCAGTACTTCATGTGTTGATATCAGTTGAGCAACCGACCCAAAACGGATGTCGACACACGCACACATATGAATACTGCGACGATTTCAGGTTGTTACCTAGCGGAAATGACTTGTTTTCAATCTGTACGAATTTAACATTACCACCGAACAACACTTTGTAATTCAGTAGGTCTCCCAGTTTTTGCTAAAACTTTTAAGCATGGTGATAACGAGATATCCTCACAAGCACATCATTTTCATTTCATTACAATAACAGGACTCCTCAGATCTGTACTTTTTCGTTGCTTGTTTTTACAACTCTAATTTGCAGGGAGAGTTAGGCACACTATGAGATAGAAATGTAGTTCCTGTGCACAGTTCTAAGGACTTTACTGACCAAGATATGCAAACTTCCACTTCCTGAAGTTAAATTGTCCCAGAAATGGGTGTTAAGCATATTTCTATCTTCTAAATACCTCCTGAAGACATTTTTAATAATCTTTCTCTTCCTGCAAGCTATTCTTGAATGTTAAAGAAATGGGCTGCCTTTTGTTTTTTTTTTTTTTTCGTTCCATTTTCCACTCGAGAAGTAGGTGCTGAGTATTTTTCTAGTATTGAAATGGATAATGAATTATTGTGTACTTTAGTTTATCCGTTGTTGCTAGCATTTTAAAGATATTCACTATTATTTGATTTCTCTATTAATTATTTTTAAAACAGAAAGTTAAAATATGCAAATTCTTATATATGTTCATTTTAATTGGTTGTCTTTCAATGTGTATGTCTTTCAACTTCATATTTTCAAAGGTACCTTTTGCTTCCAAAAGATGTGTTTTTCATTTATCCGTATTCTAGTTTCAGTTAACTGCGGACTCATTTACTTCATCTGTTCTCCCTTTGTTCTTTTATTTTTTTATTTTACAAGTCTGAAGAAAAATTGAATGGCCGTTCATCCACCAGTGTAAACGGGTTCACGTAAGTTGGTCCTGGAGAGGTGCGTTGCTTTCCGGAAAATCTGGAAGAAACTGTTTGTTTAGAAGTGAGATTATGAAAGCTTACGGAGTAGTTTGCTTTGATAATAATTTTCAACGTGTTCTTCAAAGTTCTTTTAGGCATCAGCGTAAAGTTCCAAAAGCATATTCAGTAAAATTCTTTTCATCGAACTGTCTAGCAAGAAATTTCTGGGACAACACAAATCTGGGACCTAGGTGGGGTGGCCGGCCACTCGATTCTATTCCAGAACAAGTTTATCTTTTAGATTATCCGTTAAACTGTTTCATATCTTTTCCATAATGATATTGTGCTTTAGAAGTATCTCACTTGGCTGGCCAGACTCTTTTACATGAACTTTTTTGTAATACATTTCTTCGTAATCCTAGATTATTTTGGATGGCTTTTATAATGTTTAAATAAAATATTTTGGAGTGGGCATTTACAAATGTTTCGAAAGTGGTGCATTGATCAAAATGTAAAAAGGTTTGGCTAGCAATTCCTCACTGCTTTTTTACTTCTTTTGAATTTAGACGAAGGAGTGCACTTAGGCGTCTACTGCTTTTTTTGCTGCACTTCACCACTTATAGTGCAGTAATGGTGCGTACATAACGTTGAATACTTCCTGATGCATTTTTTTTTTCCTGTTCTTGCGTACATCAAGCACAGGTTCATTTTTTCCTTTGTTTCTTAAAACTTTTGGAGAGATTCTGCGAAGTTTAAGATTTGCGTTTTAAAAAAAAATCGCAGCTATACCGGGGATTGTTTTGCCCCGGGTGACACATTTTTTCTTTTCCTCTCGAACTTCTGCAGCAGTTTCTAATTCTGCATCGATTGATCCATTTCTACATCTACCAATCAGCAATCACTGCCACATATTTCTGTACATTGTTGCTTTCATAAGTTAAATCAGCATTTTATTGAATCATTACTACATTGGGATTTCAGTAAAGGTTTGTGTTGTCACTGGTTTCTTTGACTTAACACTACATGGCAGCATTTGGTAGTTTGTTATTTAAGGCATTTTTATCGTTAAATATAATATTACCGATATTCCATAAAAGATGTGTGGTGACTTCATATGGGAGGAGTGCTTTGGCATCTCCAGAAAACAATTTATATGGAAACAATGGGTAATGGTTAAAGCAGAAATTAAGCAAAGACAACTTGCAAGCAAGTACAGGTCTCGTGAGAGTTTCTACTTCATATACAACCCATATCATGTCCGTTGTTGAGGAAAAATTCACTGAAGTACAGTTGTTCTGACCGCAGTATATATCCCTGTTATGACGAGGACTAGCCACTTTTCGGTAAGACTAAGAGTACAAGCAAAAGAGTCTAATAGTTCTCAGGTATGTTCCAAGTTGTTTTTAACAAAGTCCTACTCATTCCATGCCCTGACACGACGGGCTGCTACTCAGAATTTATTGCTTCAAAAGTTATGACAAATCTCAACATTTCCTAGCCATTTGAACATGGACTGCGTCGTATATAACGTGCATCTGTAAACCTAATAGCGTACTGATTCGTTATTAATTCAAGAAATTTTTTTGATTCGAGTTTTTTCCAGTATGTAAAATGCATAACTAGCATCCCCACCATGAGCATGAGTGGCTCGCTACAAGTTATTGTAACACATAATAAACAAGTTCCTAAGTCATTTAGAAATCCATCAAAGGATAGAGTCGACACCCTGAACGTACATTTCTAAATTTAACTAGGGAACAGCACTTCTGACAAACCTAAATAAACCTGGCAAGACAATTAAGCAAAAATGACAACTGTAAATAAATCATACGATAAAAAAAACCAATAACGAAGGAATCAGTTTTAAAATCAAAAAAAAAAAAAAAAAGAAAAAGAAAAAAAATCCCTCTACATTAGGATGTCCCATAGCAGATCAAGCACATCCGAATGTATATTTCAGTACATCCAAACTCTGCAACAAAATTGTTTTCAGCACAAAAATGAGTCGACAGTTAGTTTGCAAATGATTCCATACAAAGTGTTTCGGATGCATACGAAAAACTTTTCAAATTTTTTAGATCATGGATGTTTTGAAGGAAAATAACATAGATATTCCTAAGAATACTTATCACTGATACTTCAAAACGATCTATCCAACAATGTGAAATTCATGCTCCAAGTTGCTACTCTAGACCGAAATCAAATAATACGACATTTCAAGTAAAGTTATTATTTGCACGGCTATGATGCTGAATAATTAATGCAACTTTTCTCGGTACTAGTACTTCCAATTTCCAATGCGTAATATCAGTCTGATATACACTTTTACACTAAAAGTCACTAATGGGAAAATTATTTCTATATGAGAGGCTTAAATAGCGACCCATAAAAATAATAAGAGCATAGGCAAAACAACGCATACAAAACAAAAACTGAAGGCTTGCCGAATTTCATTCGTAAAAGAGTGAAATACAAAATTTCCAGAATATTCTAAATATTCATATAATAAACGTGCACCGAACTATGCAATCTGCACTAATGACGATTGAAATCACAAAAGTTTCAGTTCGCCAGTAACTAAATCAACTAAGTGGGTTGGACCAAAGATGCCAAGAACAGTCCGTGAGCCAGTAGGAATCTGCGTACGCCCAGCGTCGGACACAATGTAAGTAAATAAACCCTGAAAATTTTAACAGTACTGAATTTGAGGCAAATTAAAAGATCTAGATGAGAAGCAAGAAATTTGCTTCGAAATTTACCAAAACACATAGTACATAAAGTAGATAAAGCTTGAAACTTCGTTTCCAAACAGTTTTCAACTGGGTAATTTACTATGGAACTGCCATTGTATCATTCGATGTAAATTAAGTTCACAACTTTTAACAAAGATGCAACTTTCACGAGTAAATGTTAGTAACATCCAGTGCTGGGACATATTTTCGTAACAAGTTCTAAGATCTAGCGGTGATCAGTGGAAAAATCAAAATTTCGTTTTGTCAACAAATTTCTGTTAGTAAACAGCATGAAATTACCAAGTCTTTCGCTTGTTTAAAGAAATCGAGAAGCATTTCAGTGTTATGACCTTTAACAACTACTTTCATTTCTCCTGATATTCTCCAAGCATCTAATGCATGTAGTCCCTGTAATACATAATTTAATCACATAAATGGTGGAATTTAAAAGTAAATAATAGTAAAGTAAATAATTTCCAGAACTTTTTTGATAGTATGTTTAAAAAAAATATTATAAAAAATATGTTAAAATTCGTTATAAAAAACATCATTAACATCTTCGCTTCTTTGAGCAAGCCGATAAACACCGAGTGTTGCATGACCGACTTGCGCAGCCAACTTCCCTGCCCCCATTTTAAGGCTCATATTAACAACGAACACCATTTTATGCTGCCTATTTATGGCACTTGTAGAATGGACTCCTGAAAAAAAAAATATTTTTGAGACAAAGTGTACAGCGCATGCTGAAAGAGATAACATCGCTAATATTTCAATACTGCACGAAGGAAAAAGCTCTAATAATCAGCCATAAATCAATAACGATCATTTGTAACAAAATTTTACATTCCTGTTTGTACCAATTCATATTACCTACCAGAAAAAGATAATTGAAATGTGGAAACAAACCGCCCATTGAATTCTGCTCTTCGTCCGATTCAAAATCACTTTCGTTGCTGTGTTCTAAGATCCAATTTATCGCCGCTTCAGCTCCACCAATTTCTGAAAACAGGATGTTCCAAATTTGAAACATTTAACTACTCATGTACTAAAACAGAAATAACTTCTAAAACAATACTGGCTGTAAGAAATGTCAATCGAGAAACGATTAATCCTGCTGCACATAGGACATTACCCGAGAATCCACTGTTCACTTCATATTTTAACAAGCAAAATTTATTGCCAGAAAGGAACCAGAAAATACCTTTTGTTTTTGATATAGCTAAAACAGCAATAACTTCTTCAAATCCCAACTGCAGTATTTCAGCCAGCAAAGCGGGATCCACAAGATCCTCCTTATTTTCTGGATCAGCAGGATGCGAACAACTGGCCCCAGCGACTAAAGTTTATGTCAATAAAATATCAGGGTCTAACGGATTTGATACTATTAAAACAATAACTCAAGATGTCGACCACAATAGGAATATTAACTGCATCAAATAGTATGTTAATAAAATTTAGTTTAATCGTAATACACAGCATAAATTAAAGAAGATAATGCTTTAGACAACATAACCCAAGTATGAATGCTCAAGATTCATGATAATTCTTTACTTCAGTATCCAATATAAACTTCCACAATATTCACCTTATTGAGTATAGAAAAAGCACAATAATACTGGTGTTGTTTGGACTACAATATTATTTCAACCCATTCAGTCAAATAGATTTATGGAATTTACCCGGTTGAGAAGATTCAGCAGCCGTATAGAGCGTTTCCTGACTGAAATCTGGAACCGCTGGAACATAAAATGGTTGAGTAGGCACAGCAGTTTCCACGGAAGATATAGAAGAACTTGCTGGGTCTAATACAGGCTGTATTAATTGACTCTGACCTGTATGTATAGAAGACGATGGAAAATTTGTTTGATGATCAATAGTAGGGTCGGCAATGATTTGAATATTTACTCTTTCTGAAAAGAAACCTTGTCAAAAAATGTGCAACGAGTTCATATCAATATACTTATATTCTGCTACATTAAAACTGTTCAAAAAACAAAATTTTGGAAAAGAATGTACCATTTGCAGAAGAGCACGGGAAATCGGATTCTGCAGGAGATGAGATTACAGGTGTTCGCTCACTACCTCGAACAGCTTCCCTACTTGTATTTGGAAAGCCAGGCGGAGGTGGTGGTGCTTCACTGAAGTCACCAGACGAGCCTATCCTGCCATCAGTTGTTGGTAAGCTGAAAAAATGGTGCTTGGACTTAATCACGAATAAATATGTTCAAGATTTAGAGGTAAATCGTATCTAACAAACATGCAAATTATTCTTTTCTGTCTCACCTCCGTTAAATGAAATTTTATTATAAATTCACGAATGTTATGCTACTTGGGAATGCTTAAAACTCATATGGGAATGTTCCTAAAGAAAAAGCATCATCATAAAGCCAGAACCACATGGAAATGCATGAGACGTGTTATATATAAGGAAAAATTGATACAATGTCATTCGGTTGTTGTAGATGCAATAAATCACGGATGTAATGCATTTTGCAAAATTCAAGTCAACTTATTGATTTCCTAATAGCGAAAACTGACTTCTGGAAATCTTCGTCTGGCAGCTCGTCCGACATTTAAACAGCGATTTGTCTTTGTTCCTTTAATTTCTTCTTGGCTATTTCTCTCTCTTCTTGCCGACGTTTCCTATAATAATATTGCAAAAATAATACATATAAAAAATAAACATTATGGACTCAGCACTTAACATACATGTGAGGAAAATAGCAACTTATCCAATAATACTTACTTTAACTGTAGAAATTCTTTATTGTCTTCCGAATCACGTGGTCCTCGAATATTTTCCCAGTTGTCGTCCTCTTCCTTGACGAGTTTCTAACCAAATAGACGAGTTAAGAAAAACCATTTGATAATGTAATGAATTCTTTAAATTGGATAACTACCTGATAAATCGTCTCTACACTTTCCTGTTGTTTGCTAATTCCCTCCGTATTCAGAAACTGTTTCTGAAAGATTATTTTTAAAGGTTCGTGTTCCGTAATGTGAATATATCGCAAAGAGTAGTCCACTCAAACACATTATTTAGTTCTTAAATAAATTAAGCAAAATAAATCACTTTCAGATGAATTTAAAAAGAGAAAACTCCCTCTTTAAGTGATGGAAAGAAATAATGCAGTGAAAAGCAGCAATTTAAAAACTAGCTTCAAACAGTATTTTCAAAACATTTCAAACATCAGCTTATTTGCAAGGTAAACAAACTCAGAGCTTAAATTTCGCTATCTTTTCTAGTGATATCTATTTTGCCTAAAACTTCTTGTCAATACATACAGAAAACAAACTTGAACATAGAAAAACAAAATCAAGCATATTTCTCATAATTTGTAATTAAACCACTTCCCTTGCGACGCTAATCGAAAGATGATACTACTTCTGAAGCACCCATTTTTAAAATTGACTAATATGTTTTTGTAAATTAACACTACAAGACACATGCACAAAATCATGCTCTCTTTAAAGCAAAAAGCAAAAACTGTTCAGAGCAGAAATTCTTACTCGAAAAAATAAAATTTTGTGACTTCGAAATTTCTCATTCTAGTTCTTAGTATCCAATAAAATAATAACGTACAATTTCTTCAGCGTCAGCAAGTGTGCAAGAGGATGGACCGAATTCAAATTTGATTTGTTGTATTTTATATGCGAGTAATAAAGTGGAACCACCAACTGCCAAAAACGGTAAACCTTTACAAATAAATTTCCAGCTTCTTGCTTTACTCATAAAACGTTATTTGAGTACTGAAAATCAACTTTAGCGCGATAGTTAAGAAATAAAAAGACATAACTACTTAGAATAAAAACATATTTATTAGTAAAACAAAATCCCTGACTGGAAAACAATATAAAGAGTTGATGAAACATGGACGATCCCTGTAAGCCTGTGTTCATTTGAATTCACTAGTCTGGTTTCATCAAAACCACAATTTATTAGCTAAAGGGCAATAATTAACCAAGCAAATTCAAAGTGATCAAAAAATTGAAGAAATAATGTAATTGGCAGTGAAACCCTTATCAAAAGACAAACACGAACTGTCCCCTTTATCACTGGCCCACTGTCACAGATTAAAGATCAGTTAATGGGAATTTTTAAAAACCTACTCGGCTTTTTCACCAATTATATCCACTCATCTACAGCTATATACCTATAGCAGCGATGCCTACTTCCTTTTTCCATTATAGTTTCATGGCAAGTATCGGATGGCTGTAATATCTAAGCCACTTTAGAAGCTACAAATCGAGCAACGATGCTTACTTCTAAGAAATCCAAAATCTGAATAATATTTTCAGTTATCCAAATCAACTTCAACAAAAAAATACAAAATGATTCAGTTTAGATCTATTTGACGAAAAATTGGAAAACCGTGAAATGAATTGGAAGTGTCATATATATCACAGCACTCGCCTGACTCAGCAACTCCACACCCAAAAAATTCATAAAATGTCACTCTTAACAATCAAAACTCTTTACTATGGCTTTGCGACTCTAAATAACGCGATCTTCAATATTTTCATAGAGACTCATCAGCGAAATTAATAGACGAGTGTCATCGTCGTCCATCCATGGCTACTGGATGCGATCATAGACTGATAACAATTTAAACCGAGTCGTGGCTTTTTGGGCTACTCCGCTGGGTGTTAACGAAACTTTCTTTTCCCAGATAGTTATTTCCATAATTGGCATGAAATTGCTGGGAGTGTTGTCGTGATGAACTATACTCATTATGACAATACCGTATGCCATCATCATAATCGTCATGACCTTCTCTCTTTCGAACTTCTACGATAACAAATGAATATCAGTGAAAAGTTGCGAAAAGGAATTTCTGACTATTGAGTTTCAGGATTTTGGCAATGTTTGAAATATAAAAAAATATGTGCACAATATGTCAATTCAATACATATTCTTCACGTCATGTTTTTTCCCTATTTCCTGCTACTTTTTTTTTGACCAGAGGAGTAATGATAGACAAGAATCAAATTCGAGTGTTTTCGCTTTTTATTTTAAAATAAAGCTTAAAGCAGCTTGTGGACAACTTCTTTATTTGCTGTAGGAATTGCTTACGAACATATGGTGCGGTCTTGATTTAAAGTTTTGCAAAAGAGACAGAATTTTGCATCTAGTGAGAGTAGTGAGGTTTGATATTTTTAGTGACAAACTAAAAATAAATCATCGAAAATGAACCTTTTATTATTAATGAGGTATGAATTAACTTATACTTTAGTCGATACTCTGAAGTATCATCTTATTCTATGCAGAAAGCAATGAATTATTTTCTACTTTCTAGTTGACTGTATACAACAACAGTCAACTAGAAAGTATTGACGCTGGATGAAGAGGACATTCACAGTTGAGATTGCACTGAATTCCTTAATTTCTTCAAAACCAATAGCTCTGTAAAATGTGCTCAACAAATCACTGAGATGCACCAAGGACTGCAAAGACTGCAATTTTAAATTATGAAATAATTTTTTATTTTTTTTTTTTAGTCACAATATAATATAGAATAAAAGAATCAATTAAACTATTTAGTATCTAAATTAGATTAGTTAAAATAAATCAGAGAAAAAAAAATATTCATTTAAAAGTGATGAAATTAATGAAATTGAATAAATATAAATAAATAAATGAATGTATCAGTGATAAGCGCAAATAGGAACAAAAGTGATCAGGTATGACGAATCAACACTTGATTAATTTGTATTATTTATAGTATTTATAAATTTAGTCATTGCTATTTTCAATTATTAGCAATATTTGATTCTTGAATTTGCAATTCAATTTTAAGTAATGGGATATTATCTCATATTTCAGATAATATTTGCTTATCAATGGCAATCAATGCAACTAGTAAATGATCAAAAACCAATCGATTTTCCTTCTTTTTTTTTCTTTACATTTAGGAAAACTATCATTGAATAATAATCAGTTCAAAAAAAAAAAGAATTGATCATAGCTAATTGATCAAAATAACTGTAATCATTTAGAATCAAATTAGATCATTCTAGACAAATCAAAAAATGATTGTTTTAACTATCCAATAAAACTAATAACAAGTTTGTGGACAAATTTTCAATTATTTGACAAAATTTTCTTTGTCGCAAAAGAAAAAAAAAACTGATCATAAAATAACAATTGAACACTGAAAATAAAATGATAATTATTATCATTATCTCATTAATATTATTGTTATTATTCATCTGTCTAGCTCTTCTTTTTTTTGCCTAAATTTGTAAATATTTCTAATTTTGTATTTTTGTAATTTAACCAATTTATAATTATTTTTTTTCGGTAATGCTATTTCAGTAATTTCTATTTATAAAATCAATTGATTATTTCAAGACAAAATTTTATAAAATTACAAAAATTATATGAAATAATTATACAATTAATTCAAAACAAAAAAAAAAAAATCATGTTTGCTATCTGTTTTGATGATAATGAATTAAATAACTCAGTGATTAAATTAGTTTAAATTATTATATTATATTTTCGTGGTAAAGGCTAGTGTTGAGAAAGAGTTTACTTCCTCTTTACAAAAAGTCTAACCACAGTCAGTACTCAGAAAATTGACTTTTCTTCGCTTCTTCAATAATTTTGTCTCCAGAAAGACACTTCTGTAGTCAACAAGACTACTTTTGTTTTTCAAGAATTCGCTGAATCCCGAAGTGCAGATTTCTATGCCATGAGAATAAAATAGATTTCCTCATTGACGAAATATATCGATTGCAATAGTTATTTTAATTAACAAAATAGAAATCTGTTGAGCAAAGTTATGGTAGTTTGGAATTTAATGAACGGAACTGCTATTGCTTTCAGATAAATGTAATTTAAATACTAAAATTTAGTTATCATTGTGTGTTATGACATACAATTTGTAGAGGCAAATGTGAAATAAAGCTATCAACTGAATGCTGTGATTTTCCAATATTAATTAATCTAATAGTACCACTGGAAAAAAGGCCAATCACATGTCTGATTGGCTCCTTAAATACTGTTTCAATATGCTTCGGCACTATTGTCATACATATCGCGACATCTTATATTTTACCTGTACTTCAAACCTTCTCCTTTCATATAGATTACTGCTCAGAGAATTAATCAAACAAATAAATGCTACCATGCTTATTTTCTACTCAAATGACACCTATTATTTTCGTACATTTTTGTTGATATGAATGAAAGATCTTAAGAAACAAAGCAATAGTAAGCTATTTGATGAAAGCACGATCTCCTAGAACCGTTGTGTTAATTTGCTTTCTTATAATTTGTTACCTTTCATTGTAGTTTATTTCCAATTTATGGCTAATATTTTCATATGATTTCATAGATGATTAAAGTGGTGCATTGGAATATCATTATCATTAGTCGTAAATATATATTTTCTATTTTCAAGAAAACTATACATTTTATTCGGTTCATTAAATAGTATTGCTTGTTAATGACGATTCATTGTATCATTATATTTGTGTGTGTACTGGTTGCTGATTAGTGATGCTTCCTATAATTTAATATGCGCCTGTTTAGACATAAGGACGATTATATTAGTTTACCGGATCAGGTTATCATCCTTCATTTTTTTTCTGTAAAATTTTCACAAAATTTTCTATTTAAGGGATGATTCATTTACCTTTATTGGAATTTTTTTATTGAATGCATCATTTTTCTTCAGGTTTAATGCAGTTCACCCTTTTTATTAAAAAAAAAAAAAAAACAAAAGGTGTAAACGAGTAAGGGATTTCATACATGATTATTTACTTCAATAACTTGTAAAATCAATATGTGCATATTTTTAGGAAGCACTTTTCTCCTTACCGTTCGTGCTTTTCGGACACATCGAGAAAAAGTCACTTACAGTACTTGGATGGCGCTGGAGAAAACGTACCGTTGTTTTGAATTCTAGTGGGCATCTCATTATTTATAAATATTTCCTGGAGGGTGTCGGAGCTGGGTAATTTCTTTCTTTTCAATTTAATTGCATTCGCATTTTCGTTGCATATGTTAATTATTGAACAGTGTGGTACAAAAGTTTTCTTCATTAATTTTGTACATTAGTTGTTTCATTAATTTATTCATTATTTTATAAAAATAATCTCGTAATAGGAAACCTTTTCTGGGAAGAATAATTCATTTGGATGCAGCAGAACAAATTCATGCTCGAATTGATAAGGATGTTTGTTATATCACAATTCATGATCATACTCGAAAAAGAGTAAGTCTCAGTTTTTGTTTGATATTTCAAAAATTTTCAGGCTTTATTACTTTCTTCTTTATTCCAACATTAAACTTGAGTTTATCCTAATTTTTAGACTGAATTGCGAATTAAAGGTACAAAAGCTCGTTTATGGGCTGCAAAAGTATTCATGTTGGTTAATTTCTTCTTTATATTCTTACAAATTGATAACATAAGTAAAAAAAAGAAAATCAACACAATTAAAAGTTAAATAGTTTGACAAGTTAGAATGGTTGATGTCATTTTTCCAATTACGTTAAGTTTGTAAATGACTTTAAATGTTTGTAAATAGTTTCTCGGATTGTACCGAGTCAAAATTGTGCATTGCAGAAATCATTGACTGAAGGCTTTTCACTTATAAATTAAGTGACACTAGCCATTTTTCGTAAAATGTCATTTAATTTTGTTTCTGGTGATAATAGGATATTTTTCCAGGTACGAAACTCCCCTTAATGACTTCAGAGTGTAAGTTGGTATACATTTGCTAATTATAGTTCTCTAAAGTGTACCAACTTTCAATTTCTTCATAATTATTGTGCTTTGATCAAAAAAAAAAAAAAAAAAAAAGGTGTTACTTAAAATTCATTGTAAACTATCCTCAGCAAGTTTAGGCGTTCAATGGATGTGCAAATGGAATGGCCAGTCGAGCGTCCACTAAACCTTCTTGATTCAAAGATTTCTACATCAAGCATTTATGATATTACTTTATCAGCCAAAGCAAATCATATGGAGAGACTTTCCAAAATCACCATTGCTTCTGTTTCATCTGAAGTTAGTTTATATACTTTTATCATCCATTTTTTTTTCTTCTCTATGTATTTCGTGTGTCTGTTATCAAGAAATTATATCGCTCATTCGATATTTGGTTTAACGAATTTAATATTCTAATTGGTTACAACATGAATATTTGAACAAGTATCAATTAAATAATTGCTGCATTTCCGCCACAAAAGTTTTTTTAAATACTTTAAATTTAATTTCGAAGTTTTCATTTTCTAGAGTTTCCCAGATTACACAACTTCTGATGCTTCACAACAAAACACTCAGTTGTCTGTGCAGGTTTTAGTCCCTTTTATATGTCATTTCAAGCAAATATTTGTAATGAGTAGGTGCGAAGGAATATACTAAGAGACACTGGAAGTTTGCAAAGAACTGAAATTATGCATTTGTATAAGAGTAGGGTGCTTTTCATTCCCTCTTTAACTCCATTTCGGTTCGTACGAAGTCTCTTCAGGGACTACTGAGTTTTTAATTGGAATTCACTTAATAACATAAGCATTTTTAAAAATAATTAATCGAAAAATATGAACTTTTTTCAAAAGGGTAATTTATAATTAATGACTTCTAGCGCAGTATCATTCCTGAACGTACATGTTTTTCCCATTTTAAAAATTACTGAATGAAGGAAGAGATTTTATTTGACGATACTTAACCTTTTTTATAGAGTATGGAACGAATAGAAATATCAGAAGTGATCACAGCTTGTGAAGCAGATTCCGAATCTAGCAATGTTAAAAACACTTCGGTGCAAGATGGTAGCTTGGTAATTCTTGTTCATATTACTTTTGATCACTAAAACTGTTATATGCGTTTATTATTATAAATTAGAAAGAGTAGTTTTAGATCTATGGAAAACTTGCGGATAACAATTTTGAAACAGGTGGTTTACTGAAGTACTCAAAATCAGCATCACAATGCACTGTCACCACTGAATTTTCGTCTGCTAAGGTGTTTTATTACGCGAAAAGTATTGAGTATTATAGGCATTGGTTTGAAACTTATAGCTAATTAGTCAGTTTATGTTTAGTCTAAATTTTCAAACTAATACATGGTTTCAAAAATCTAAAAATGAAGTGTGGATTTTCTTGAAGATTTTCAAAAAAGTCATTTTTATTGCGTTATTGATATATCCATTTTGATTTTCATTTGTGGTTTCTACTTTTCTTGGAGCTGAAATTTTTCAGCAAGCAAGTAAGTCTATAAGCTTGGACCAGTTGAATGTAGTAGTGGTATCGCGTCAAGACCGTTTTCAGAAGCATTTTCGAAGTATGATTGAAAATCGATTTTATGATAGTTTCAAAGACTACTCATTAAATTATTCGGTTTCCAGCATCCAAAAACTGCGTACACAAGCTTGCAGTCTCCGAATGTCACAAGTTTATGTATGTCGTTGAATTATTGCCTTTTTTTAAAAAAAAATGAATGTGTTTTTTTTTTTTTTTTTTTTTTAAAGGAATAATTGTTGAGTTAAAGAAAATGCAATTATTCTTATAAACATCTTTTAAATTGAATAAATTCAATTTAAAAATTCTAATGAGATATTGTTATTAAAGGAACAATCTTGTGATTCTATCATTCTGTATTTCCTGTACTAATCTTCCAGATTCCTTATAATACATTGCCGATAAAGAATGAAGTGCAAGCGAAGCAGCAACTCACACAACTCACTGGATCGTCATCATCATTACCCACTGATATGAATTGTAAATTGCTGGAAGAATCAAAACAGAATGATAGAAGTGAAAGTGATATTGTTTACCACTTCTAATAGATTATAATGCACTGATCAAATTTGGTTCTTTCACAAAATATCAAACCATTCCCTTTTGAAATTTTTAGTCGCTTTTATTACTCTGTTAATCTTCCGTTGTGATCAAACAATATATAAATTAATTTGCTTATTGTCTAGTGATGTTTTAAACGGAAGCTCGCCTGAATAGTTTTTAAGCTTTCAAACATAGTACGGAAATCTGTTTGTTACACAAACGAAGCTCTTCGTTAAGAGTCAATCAAAATTTGTTCTGAAAAATTCGAATAAAATGGTGTTTTTTTCCTCAATGATTACTTCTGCACTCCATTTTTAATTCAAAAAAAGTAAACTAATGGTCTTGATGATTATGATGGAGGCTATCTGAGACGAGATGGAATGATAGGATTAATTTGCAAGACAAACGCTTGATTCCATGGAAACCAACTAAAAATTATAGTGTACAAGAAGGATGAATGAAATGAGGTCAAAAATGACAATGCACAATCAAAAACCCAACAATCCTTGAATTAGTTTTGCGTGCGGATATGATGTATTTCAAGGACAAAGATTATCACAAAGAAAGTACATTCCTATCTATTTTAGTGTTAATAACTCTGCAATACGATCAAAATTTACACTAACTTCATTGAACATCAGAAATGTTAATTATCAAATGGATCACAGTATGGCAGTAAATCCTTAATTTTGCAACCGACATTACAGCAATAATGCATCATTTCAATCATTGATAATGGTCGATAAGCATCGTTTTTCCAATTTTGTTTCTCTGAAGCTAATATTTATAGGCTAAGTGGTTAGTCCTCTTAAATAATTTTGTTAGCTATGCCTGGCTTTATCATTTGAATCTTTTCTCTGTTAGATTTAGTGACAACATTGCTTTTTAGAAAGAGAAGCAAAGATCACCTTGTGAAGATGATGATCGTTTTTTCTTAATGATGCAGGATAGATGCCAAGCAGTGATAAACGATTTACCACCAGACGGACATAATTTCATGATTCCATCTCTTCCACTTCTTCTTTGAGTAATTAAATTGCATGTTATACATACTGACAAGTAATGAAGGATTAAGTACTTTTTTTTCATTATCTGTAATTGATTAATGTTAAAGATCAAAGTTACGTGAGCATTACGTGCTCTCCGCAAGAGAGTTTGTCTTTTCCAAATTATTATGATGTGGATCGCAGTATAGTAGTGATTATGATGAGAGACTAAATCTGATTTCACGTTCAGCTAACTCATTTTTTCAATCTGATCAAAAATAGTAGTCACTCAGAAAATTTCCTTCAATAATTTAGTGTAATATAAAACATAGTATAAATATGACATATATTAAGTATAGAAATTTAACATAAAAATTGACAAACAGTTCAAGTTAATGAGTTAAATAAAAAATAAATGAAACACAGCATACAGAAATTTCAGAAATTCTTTTTTGCAAACTTCTACGTAAATCAATTGGCCTTACTAATTGTATTTTTATTTTGTAAGTGGAATAAGGTGTTTATATCTGGTTTTCTGCAATTATGAAAATTTACAGGAAACAGTTTTAAAATTTCTATCTGTTTAGACTACCATCATGTATCTGGCATTGCGAGATATCTTTTACTGGAGAAAATCAAATAGCCCCGTTCATTTGACATAATGGTAGACTAATAGAGTCAATTGAACTTATTTTATAACCTTAGTTCATGTTATTGTTCTTTTACTACAATTTTATGGAGTTTCATGAATGAATTAAGAGATATATTAATAGATGAAGCTTTTGCTTTCCAACCATGCTAGGAATGATAATATCATGATGATTCGAGAGTTGTCATAGTATTATGGTAATGAAATCTGTTAAGATTATGATTAGTTAATGCATACTTGATGCAAGTATATATTAACTAATCATACTTACAGTTTTAACTATACCTATCATATGCCTATTATATGCTTATTATACGACTTTTTCATAAATTTAATATTACTTTTGAAGGATATGTCATGTTGATAATTTGCAGTAGCCAATCCTCTATACCCATTATTTTTTTTTACAAATTTACAAGACAGAAATGTTGAAAACAAGGAAACGTAAGATCGGAAAAATTATTGTGATGCTGCTGAATTGACACGGAATGGCTGAAACGCACTGAAAAATGCATGCGACCAATATCTCATTAGAATTCATCTCCTCTCTTCTCTTCTATCAATCCTTTCGGTGTAAAATCGTAGCGAAATTATTCATCACATTGCATTCATTGTTTTAAACCTTTTTCCAAAAACATTACTTGCATGAATTAAAAGGTATTCACTACTCACTGAAAATATTTATCACTTTTTTAGTCTTTCGCTTGCTCATAAAAGTTCGCAGAAACTTATTTTGTTCTCTGTATTAAAACTCAACTATTCCAATGATAGCGACAAGTTTTAATTTGCTTAAATTTCATTTCATCATAACAAGTAAATTTTTTTGATTTATTAGTCAAATAAAAGGAACAACTGCAATTGTTTTGTCAGTAGATAAGAACATAACATGAATTTGAAACTTTAACAAAGTAACAAACTTTCATATTTTGCTCAGATGAAAATGTGAAATAAATGTTCACACCTTAGAGTACGTCATTCTCCTCCAAACAATGCTCAATTTGCTACTTTACAGTTAATAATACGTAAATACACAACATACCTTTACCATTCTTTATTTTTTAGAATAAAGTGCTATTTCAAGTGAATTTCTGAAAAAAAAAGTTTCTGGGATAAATAAATGTTGGAAAAGTTTTAAATACTTGAAAGTAACTTTTTTTCAGAGCCAATATATCAGCAACAAATATATGTCAAAAGTTCAAGTTTTTTAATCCTCCAAATGCTACTATAATTTGAAATAAAATTCAAGAAAATTTTTTGATAAAATAACACCATGCTTTTAACCTTGTTATGATTTGAAAGCAATATTTCATAATTCATATAATTGATACAATAGCTAAATAATTCAATAGTCTCTTGGATCATCCTATCCATCCATCAGTTAGACAAATGAAGGATATTCTATAAAAGAATTCTGTTTTCAAAAAAGTAGAAACTAATTTAGGTATCCAGTATATTTGCATCTAAATAGTCTATATTGAATTAAATGAAAAAGTTTGAAATATAGATGAGATGAAGTGAGCTTTTACTATCCTATGTTGTTTCATAAAGGTCACTTAAATAAAATATGTGGACATTGCTACGAGTTAGAAACGTAGTACCAGTGTTGTAGATGAGTAAGGAAAGCATTACAAATGAATATTTCTCACAACTGCACACTTTGTCAAAGCGAATGAATGAAAATGACATTGTCTTGAATGTCCTTCTTACTTGACCTGTTTTTTTTATCGCAAAAAGAACTTCAGTTCAATGAAGTTTTTTAAACCATTGAAATGAACTGTTGTAATGTTAATGTTATTCTCAATTTAACTGAAAAATTTCAATTATTTAGCTCATTTTTCGTCAAAGAATGTTCCTGATAGTGGAAAAAGCTTTATTTTCATTTAAAAAGTCCAAACAATGAAGGACTGCGCGAATAAGATGACTCTAAGAACTTGCAAACTTAAAGATCTCCACAGCCTCTTAAATGTCTTATATAAAAAATCTTAAATTTGAAAAATTTCTTCATTTTAATATATGAGTAGACAATATACGTAAGTCGCATTCTTCCAGTTTAAGTTCTATTAATTTCATTTCAATGTTTTGAATGCAAATATGACATCCCAACTTCATTGTTTTATATTAAGAGACTTAATAAGCTCAAGTATGCTAAACAGCAATTTAAAACACTAGTAAATCTGGGATCATAGATCACGGATAATCTGAATAAATTAATAGATTCGGTTTTCATTCCAAAGTCTCAATTCACTCTTCAATTTCATATGAAACGTAATTCTGGAGGCAGAATAGCTGCAATAGGGATCCAATAAACTAATGAAAAGGAATTGTATTAAATCAATCCTTTCTTCTGCTAACAGTCCTTCAAGCGCAATCGAAACATCTGCATTCAGTTGCGCTAGGAATTCTCATGATTCGATCACCACCTTCACATGCTACCTTCGCTTTTACCTAAAATAATATTTGGTTCCATTCTGGTATATTAAAACATTTATAGAATACCCCTAGACATCCCAAAACAAGTAAAAGGATATAATACTATGTTAATACAAACTCGATCAGTGTTTTTCCTTGATCAATAAATGAAAAAATATACAGAGTCTCGCAAAGAATTAGCAAAAAGTAAGATTGTGTTCAATTTAGTTACAAGTTAAACATATCGAAATCATCACACTGATCCATTAATAGTACAACAGTCGTAATAATAACATTTGTCCATCTACCTCAGAAAGCAATAGAAATAAAATTTAAAGCGAAAGTGAAATCATTGAAATTTTAAATTTAAAATTTATCTTACTAATAATTTATGTGATCAAAATAGTGAAAAAAAAACATGTAAAATTAACCACTGATGGATCATTCTTGGTGTCGACCTTATGACCTTTTCCTTAATCCAATGTATTTTGTGCTTGATTAAATGACAAGTGGAAAAAAGTATTACATAAGCAATTAAAATCTCCCCTAGAACTTTAGTCGCTCTTTAGTTTAAGCTTTAAATTCAATCGGAGATGTAGAACATTATGAAGTACTGCAATGCTTCATGATCGAATATGTGCCAAACAAACCCATTCATTGTCGACCATTCTGCAACATCTTCCATGTACTGTAATTGAGTTTTCTTCCGGATTAACGAATGAAAAAGACATGCAATAACCGGAACACATATTCACATTTACCGCAACTAGATCACATCCTGGTTCGTCGATAACATATTGTGTACCTGAAAACTATGAAGAATGAAATCAAATTTTCATCTTAGCTTCAGTGTTAATAGAAGGAAAAAAAAACAAGTAGGGTAGAGAAAGTAAACAAACAACTGCTGTAAAAACTTATTGCCAAAACTGAACCTCAAATTTATTGTAGTAGAAGAAATGAAAATGTCTTAAAACAACTTCACTGTAAACATTTTTGCTGACGTTTTTTCTGGAGATAGTAATTTATCGGCATTTAAAGAATTTAAGCAAACCGTGTTTTCGGCATCCTGATTTAATAACAGCGGAATATGCGGGAAATGTTATGAACATCATCAGTAATGTTATAAGCAGATGTCGCTTCAGTGTGAATGAAAATGCGATTGAAGAATTTAAATGGTGTGTGTCCGTTTGTATGAGTGTTACCGGTACCGGAATCGAACCTGAGGTTGAAGCCAGTTCCGTTTTCTGCATTAATCATGCAGTGAAGCTGTAATTATACCTTTTAAGCAATCTCAGGGACGCCACCGATATTAGTTAAATATTTTTATGGCACTTTTAACTCTCGAAATTTCGCTTGTTGCTTGCGCATAAAATACCAAACTTTTTGACATTATGTCTAGCTGGTCATTTTAATCTCCACATGTTACAAATCGCTTAAAACAGGGTAAAAGTAGCTTGCAGTTTTGCTTTCTCCCATTTGAGCCATTTAATAGAATGCAATCACCAAGGAAAGCAAATCTTTTCTTGAAATTGTATCAAACTAAAAATCCAATATGTTTAATTCATTTACTAAGGACTTAGTTATGGTTCAAGAAAAATCACCGCACTTACCCTAGCATGACAGGAAAGTCAAAAAGTGTCCTGGAAACTTGTGGATTAAGGGATTAAGGAACTTGTCAAATAATCAGGATAATCTTTTAAAAAGTGGATAGTAGCTCACCTTTGTGCAGTGAAGTCATATGTAAAACATTTGCATAATATAAAGAGAAATCTTACATGTGTAGCAATTAAAAAGTGGAAAAGCTGAAATACATGCCCAGTTTTTCAAAAAAGTTGTAAGTCAAAAATCTACTATATATTCTGAATATTCAAACAATATTGACCACCTGGCTCGAAGACTTTACTTATACTATGCTGGATTAGGCTAAAGTTTATTGTCACTCTCCCTTAATGTGA